AAAAAAAAAAATGTGAAGCAAAAGTCATCGCGCGATAACGTCAACGTTTGATAACGGCGCAAAAAACGTTCCACGTCGTCCCTACGTCCCTACGAAAATTGCCAAATTCGTTTCTGAAATTTTCTGTTCGTTGGAACGATTTGCTTGTTTTCGATTGCGATCGACAGCGTTGCTATCGCGTTCAGCTGATAAGTTCAATGCTGTTACCTTTCTGCGCGCAAACATCGAATAAAATTTCAACGCGTTGTTCGAGAATCTTAATCGACGAAAGATATTGCGGTTGTTGCACATTTCAGATTCGACGATAGAGTTATTGTGCTGACAAGACATTGGCACAGCGAGTTCGTTCAGCTCGGTTGCTCTCCCGCTCGCGGTTTCAGACCGAACGGAATGTTTAAAAATCGTGAATTCACCGTTCGAATACTGCACGGATAGATCGTTTTCATTCACGTCCTTCCAACGAGCCACACTGTCCAAATTTTTCATTCGAATCAACGTTACCGGCGAAGAAATTGTTTTGCCGATTCTTGATCTCGCGATGTCGCCCATAGATTTCGATATTCTATTGGACAGCAGGGTATCGGTACTATCGTACGTGCAACAAGCAGCAGAATCATTCTCGATCAGGGAAACGCTTTCGCTCGTCGGGCTGCCGAAGTAACCGAACGACTTTCCTATTCTTTCACCACCGATCGCCGACCTTCTATGCCTGGATCTGCGTCTTTCGACAGCACGACGCACGATACTATTTCTCTTGTGCTTCTTACCTACGATGACGCGTCGCCGTTTCACCGGGCTAATCATCAGAGCTTTGCCTACTAAAATTGTCCGACACAAAGTGGGCGAGAAAAGTTCCGAGTTCGATCCTCGAGTTTCGACGCGTGTTGAACGCGTGCGTCTCTCGAGTTCGTCAATCACGGGCCCGTAAGAGGACGTGGACGTGGACGTGGACACGACCGTGTTCATCGACGAGGACACGGCGACACGTTGGACAGAATCGGCCGATGAATTTGTCGAGATTTTGTCGAAATTTCGAGACCTTTTTACGGAAACCTGCCTTTTTGGAGTCTCCTCGATCATCGGTCGATCGACGCGTATTTTCTTGTACCTGATCTCCATTTGTCTGTTTTTGTTAAACGAACTGACTCTAGAAAGGAATTTCCCTCGCTTGGGTGCTCTCATGGCTAGATCAAGTAACGAGCGTTTATAGAGACGTTGATTTTCTTCCGGTGTCGTGTATCGTGTGAAAACGGAACTTGCCAAGCTCGTGATCGCTGGATCACGAAGAAGAAAGGCGGCAGTGGTTTTGATATTTCGATTTGGAGGAGCGGCTCGCTCGGCTTCTCCCGATTCGTACAACTGATTGCGAGCAAGCAACGAAGCATTCTCCTTCTTCGTAGATTTCGTCGAAGCGTATGCAGACCTATAAAACTTACCACCAGCGGCGCGTGTTTGACGTTTACGTCGTTGATCCGGCCGACTGAACGCGGAACCAGTTTGGAGAGCCTCCATTAAGCTATCCATAACACCTTCCTGCGTTTCGTGAGCATTCATGTCGACAAGCGCTCGTTTCCGCGCTGCCCGAGCTGCTTTTTCCGCTTCCGCTTTTTCTCGCGCTTCTCTCGCTCGCCTCTGTTTCTCTTCGCCCTCTCGCAGCTTTATTATTTCTTTCTGCGCGTGCTGTAAGAGGATGTGAACGCGTGTTAACGACCAGCCGATCTTCCTTCCTATTTTACTCACCATGAAATCGTCCTTGAACGTTTTTACATCGCTGAAGAATTCCTCGATCGTGTACTTTTGTTTGTCGAACGAGAAGAATTCCGATATCTCCGAGTACAGGCTGTCCATATTTTTAAACATATTTTGAAGAACTTCGTAAGATTCTCGAGCTTTCTTCGCAAAAGGCTGTGTGAGTCGATTAGTCAAGTCGGATAGTTAAGAAAAACCGATATGTGCATGAATGCAAAGTAATCACTACTATATAACAATACAATGGAAAGAATTACGAAAGAAAAAAGAAAAGAAAAGGATACACCCATAACATGCAAGAACAAATCGTTATCCGATTGTGGAACTTTGGCATTCGATAAATCTTGTTCGAGATTTCGAATGTTGGAATCCATCTGTCGCAATGTCCTTTGTACATTTTCTAACGAAACACGACTAGCTCTGTCCACGTGTGCCAGCTCTTCCGAAAAACTAAGACATTCCGGGAATTTCTGCTCTATCGTACACACTAAATAATGCATCAAAGTCTGTTTGTTATCGACATCCTTTGTGCTTGTTAACTGAAAATCAAAGACCGATTGATCGTATTC